TGGAATACTATTGAATACCACCAAATACTCATTCTTCATTTTGTATTAAATAAATCGAGGTCACGGCAAGGCACTTACAATGGAATCCCATGAGGCCAATTGATTTAAAAGCAGAAATGTGAAGCTTATCATTTTACAAAAGCACTTACATTAATTATTCTGTTAAATGTATCTATTGTTTGAGCTATAAAATAGTTCTCACTATTTTTACAGTCATTTTAAGGTTTTAGGTGTTCTGCTATTGTAGCAAAGAAAATTGGATATAACTTTACATAGAATTGTTTTTCCAAGTAAAGATCAAAATTAGTTTTGAGCTAATCAACATTGCAAATGCTGTCATTTGAGCTTAAATTGTACTCAACCCACAATATTTCATTAAAAATCATTAACTACAAAGATGACGGTATTTCAGATAAACCTTAAAGGGGTCATATAATGCTATATGCACTTTTACATGTTGTTTGAACTGAAATGTGTGTTGGCAGTGCTATGTTCGCGCAAATCATTTGTGATCCAGCTTCATCTACAGAAGAAGTGAGTGTAAGGTTTTTTTAATGAATCTTTGCATATCGCCTTTGCTAATAATGTGCTAATTAGCAAGTTTCACGATGAATGCAGCTAAAGTAAACAGTCTCTCTGAGAGCAGCTCCGAAGAGAGGGGCGGGGTCAGCAGAGCTCATTAACATTTAAAGGAAAATGCTACAAATCTGCATGCTGTGAAAACTGCTGTTTTTGACAGGGTAAAATAGGTGTTTTTGACACTACCATTGAGAAATTTTAACCAAACTATGTTACAGACTTTTCATTAAGACCATAAAGAATCATATCAACTTGTGGAAAATGGGCATCCTATGACCCCTTTAACAATCCCTGCCATGCAATAAAAAAAGTCATGTGTTGTAACTAAAAAAATGCTCCCTAACGCACTTTCCAAGCCCATTCCTGAAGCCCCCAGAAGATGCCAAACAGCACAACGTGTCTGCGGCTGTAGCTCGGGAATGTTTGCTCAAGTAATCATCTGTAGCCGCCTCTCAGCTCAGTGAGGTTTGTTTGCGCCCTTGATTCGGTTTGAGCACCACACTGGCTGTCTGCAACCCATATCAACATACATCCAGTTAGTAACTATGACAGAATCATATCTCTAACAATGAAGTGTGTATTTTATAACAAAGCACAAAAGGAGTCCATTAATAAAATTACATTACAGACTTTCTTGAGCAACACAAAATTTGTATTCCTAAGATATTCAGTGAAGCAGACAAATCATGCTGTGCATGCTGTTGTAGACTAATAAACCAGTAAGAGAACAGCAAATTGCTTGTGTTTTCAGTTCTGCAACAAATTAGTGCTTTTCGAAGAAGCTGAAAACGAACCCGGAATAAAGCTTGCACAACAGTGAGAACCTACAAAAGCTTTATTGCTGCATACTGTTAGGCAGATGCTTTTCGGGGAAGGTTGATTAGGCTGTACTAATTGCAAGGGGTAGAATCCACCATTCAGTTTTTGCATTAATATTTTAAAGATGAATCAGTATATTCACGATCAACCAAATTCTGACCTCAAACATGTAACTGAAATGCATTAAATAGAAATAAAGGTTCGCAAAGGGGGGCTTTGCAGCAATGCCACAGAAGAAGCATTTCAGGTTCCCCAATGAACATTTCTATAAAAACTTCTTAAAATAAATCTTAGTGCAAAGAATATTAGGGCCCTATGAAAATGCGGACTGAATCGTGGAACGCGGAATGTCACAGAATTTGCCAAATTTTGGATGGATAAATCAAAAGTAGGTATTCAAAACGCGATATGGACTAGAGTCTGTGAATATTAAACTGCAAAAATACAATTTGAATATGAATCCTGCATGTTCTGCGTGTCTCTGTGTGAATGAATGGCGCAGACGTGCTGTTTCGGTTACTACACACATACTGAAGCGTGTGTGACGCTCGCTGTGTTTTTAGCCTCTGTTGCCTCAATATATAAGTACATGAACACATAAACATAATCTCTAGAAGTACTCTGAGAGCATTTTACCATTTCTTTCGAGAAATACTATCATCATATCATATACAAACAGAAACCGAAAGGTCTTCACAGCAACCCATCAAAATAAAAGTTTGGTTTAACTTGAAGAAACTGTGACAGAAATATATTACTTAATGTAATGATAGTACTACTACTAATAATAAAATGATTATTAAAACATTATTTTTAAAGGAATATTTACCAGAATTTATTTAGCAGAAAAATATAAATACACAAAACACTATTTCTGAAAAAAATAATAAAATAAAATATTTTTTATAAAATCAATTAATTATAGATGCTCTTTATTATTAAAATTTAATTAAACCACTAAAATGTAATTCAGAAAATTACAGAATTTTGTAAAAAAAAAATTTAAAATAATAAAACTGAATTTGAGAAAAAAATAAAACATATTTCATAGGGCCTTAAAAAAGTCTTTTTTTGTTAAACTTTTAATAAATTGCTCTCAAATACTGTAAGTTTCATTATTTCAATTAATTAGACATGATTTCTGATTAATAAATTTAAAATTTTATGTAACCATTAAAATAGAGACTAGAAAAATTAAAACGGAAAAAAACTAATTTGGAAAAAAATAAAGGGCCTAGAATATGTAAATAATGTAAAGAACCTTTTTCCACTATAAATAACCTTTTGTGCAATGGAAAGGTTCCATGGAGGTTAGATGACCATTGTGAACTTTTATTTTTTTTTAAGAGTGTATCAAATAAACAAATGCATAAATGATGATGGAAAAAAAACAGAAATGGTGTGTGCTGATAAGTGCTGAAAGATATCCAATCCAAACTGTACGCTAATTGTCAATCATCTTTGACGATAGTGGTCCTGACTATCGAGAATTAGTTCTTTAGTACCTTGGTTTAAACTTTATGTAGTGCTTTAATATATACCATGTTGACATATTGCTAAATAAATACAAATAAAAAAATAATAAAATAAAATATTTTTTATAAAATCAATTAATTATAGATGCTCTTTATTATTAAAATTTAATTAAACCACTAAAATGTAATTCAGAAAATTACAGAATTTTGTAAAAAAAAAAATTAAAATAATAAAACTGAATTTGAGAAAAAAATAAAACATATTTCATAGGGCCTTAAAAAAGTCTTTTTTTGTTAAACTTTTAATAAATTGCTCTCAAATACTGTAAGTTTCATTATTTCAATTAATTAGACATGATTTCTGATTAATAAATTTAAAATTTTATTTAACCATTAAAATAGAGACTAGAAAAATTAAAACGGAAAAAAACTAATTTGGAAAAAAATAAAATGGATTTCATAGGGCCTAGAATATGTAAATAATGTAAAGAACCTTTTTCCACTATAAATAACCTTTTGTGCAATGGAAAGGTTCCATGGAGGTTAGATGACCATTGTGAACTTTTATTTTTTTTTAAGAGTGTATCAAATAAACAAATGCATAAATGATGATGGAAAAAAAACAGAAATGGTGTGTGCTGATAAGTGCTGAAAGATCTAAACTACCTGTACAGACAGAAGCAATCAGTCACTTTTCATAATTAGTTCAGCCAGTGCCAAGTTCATTAAACAAGAGTCTCCGAAGAGAGAAGAAGAGGAGTAAGCAATCATCAATGGTCTTTGTGAAGCTGCCAGATCGCAAAGTGGAGGTCACACCTGCATAAAATTGTCATTAACAATAAGGCAAGGTGCAATCAACCTGATTTGAACAGGACAGGACAAATGTACAATTAGTATTCAGGTCATGATGATGAAACTCTAGGCTATAGATTTTTCTGTTTTGCACCTGAGTGGAAGATATACTCTTCACAATAGACTGCTATTTCCCTCACCCCAGATCAAGTATGTTCACAGTGCAGACAAAAATTTACCATGGTAACCATGGTGTCATGGTGTAGTTAACGTCACAACAACAACACATAGTATAACCCACTACTGTATAGTAAGTCTACATACTTGTCATATATTTGTAATTTTGTATGTTGTTTATTTTTGTGATGAGAGTGCCTGCTAATACAACATTACTACAGTATTTTGATGAAAACTATGGTTAATAAATTGTTTTAAACATCAATGCTGCACAAAATGACACTGCTTCTCAAAGCTTCTTACACTGGAATATGTTATATAGATGTAGATTTTTTTTTTTTGTGCAATAATTGCAATATATTTGGCAGGTAACTGTGGTTACCATGGCAAGTCGTTGTGAAGGTGGTAATTTAGTTGCATTTACAATGAAAGGTTTTTCTATATAAATGCAACAATTTGTGCCTCTGCATCAGCAATAAAATATCATTAGTTACATAATGTGATTTTCTTTTGCTGAATTTCTGTTTCTCAGCTGTATTTCATTCTCTCATAGGAAAATAATTCACAAAAGGCATATAAGATTGCATATAGTGTTTAAAAATAATTTAAAGCCTATGCGCATTTTGGCCTGTTTCACTGAGGTCTTGAATTATTGAACCAGTTTTTTATTTATTTTTTTTTTTTTTTTTAATTATTATTATTATTTCCTGTATTAATAAACCTCAAAATGTAACCCTGTTATCCAAGTTATTGTAACAAAAAATAATAATAATAAATAAATAAAATATGGTTTTTATTATTTCGTTTACTATTTAGGCTATTTTTTTATATGTTCCACAACTATCTAGCCGGGCTGTAAAACAGATTAATTTAGGCTTCATGTGCCAATTTGTTACCTGTTGTGGTGATTTTTGTATTTATTTTATTATTTCTATCTAGTTCATTCTAATGTTAATGTTTATTTAATCACCCCTTCCATTCAACATCGGTTAAAAAAATACGTTTATGGTCCACTTTTTTAGTGGAAACTGGCATAACAACTAATTTTGGCACATAATTTGTGCTGAATTTATGGTTTTCAGCTCATCTATTTCTCTTAGTTTTATAGAGTAAACGTCACATTTGTATGCACAGTTATTAAACAGACATTCGTCTTACCTTGTATGTGCTGATTAACCACATTCTCCAGCCGATCCAGTCGCTCTATAATCCGCAGAGTTTCTCCTTTCCTGTCGCCCTCCAACTTTTTGGCTGGGACAGGCATCGGCACTTTGATGTACACATTAGCGATGTAATTAGTCACCCATCCGACGTACAAAAGACACACTATGTTGGTCATGCCACTTAGTATCACACACGTAGACACCAAAGTTTTGGTTCTCCTGGTGCAAGCCATTCCGACATCCCTCCATATAGAGTCCGAGACACAGCGGACAAGTGCGCCTGTCCTCAACTCTGTATGTACTCCGATGGAGAATAACGCGCCTGACGCAAACACTACAGTCCGCGCTTCATTCAACCACCGGGCTGTTCAGCTCTGTCAGATTCCAGCGACTTGAAATGGGCAACTATCGTCTTGTTCCAACACGAAACGCCGCGTCCTTTATCTACAGCGCCAAGCAGCGCTATAGGAAGAAGAGCGAAGGTGCGCGAGTATGTGTGTGGTTTGATCCTGAGCCTGTTGACCAATGAGATGAGCTGTAATCTATGGAACCAATTGCACAATGATCCGGTAACAGTAAGGAGGTGCTTTATAAAGGCAGAGACTCTTACTGTTTCATAAAGTAACTTTTTTACCGTTTCATAAAAACAAACATGACTTGAGCGAGCAAAATAAAGGAGCACATTGCATTTTAAAGGGATAGTTCACCCAAAAATGAAAATTCTGTCATCGGTATAGCCATTGACTTCCATATCATAGTTTTTTTTTTCTTTCCATACTATGGAAGTCAGTGGTTACTGTGTGGTTACTTGGTTACCAACATTCTTCAAAATATCTTCTTTTGCGTTCAACAGCTGAGAGAAATTCAAACAGGTTTGGAACAACTTGAGAGTGAATAAATGATGACAGAATTTTCATTTTTGAGTAGACTATCCATTTAACTGTGAAAGAGTGCACGGTAGGATGTAAGTTGCTAAACATTTAATATTTGAATATTAATAATAACATTAAATAACATTTAAATATTATCTAGTGGCCATTATCTAGGGAGAGTAGAGTAGTTTGCATCACTAGGTAATATCTAATGATGCAAACTACTCTATTTTATGTCAAATTTCGCCATTTTGAAATGAAAATATAGGCTAAATCATTTACGTGATTCAGGTAATTCACAAGTAACTGAATGTGACGAGACAAGAAACATTTTGCCGTTTTGCGTTGTCAACACATTAGGCAAATGAATAAGAATGAATGTGTGCAAAATAACAATAAACAATATTTGCAAATAAGTAAAATTGTTTTACAAAAGTTCATATTCCTGTGTTTTGCCTATTCTTCTTTCTTTACCCGCATTCCATTAAATCCTTTAATTACTTAATTCCTAAATAATAAAAGACCACCTGAAAAATACCTATACAAATTATTGGAAGTTATTATGTATGTTATTATATAATTTATAAACAGTCTCACAACTTTTGTAATCATGAGGGTATTAACAAGGCACACAGTGATTTCCCTGATCATTTCCAACTTGTTAAATCGATGGTGTGCTCATGTTCATGCTTTGCTACAACACTCCTCAATCTGCTCTGTGTAGCCTATTATTTGTATTAGAGTTTAAAAACTGAAGCATCATGCTAGGATTCAGGTTTGGTATCTGTGAACAGTAAAGCCCTGGCATCTTTTGTTTGATTGGCCTTTTAAATAATTTTTAATATTGCAATATAACATAAATTTACATACAACAGTTCTTTTATAAGTGCTGATATTTAGTACAGCGGCACTTTTAACTGTATCACTCCATTTGTCCATATCTGTGCATTCCAGAAGGACAAGGCCTATTCACACCAAGACAAATGTTTGGTGAGAAAATTTGGTGCAATAAACATTTTCATTTGAATGAATGCTGTACAAGCCATTTGTATGCAGTGGTCAGAACAAACGAATCACATGCAAAGATCAAAACTCATTTTCATGCCAAATATCCGTGGTGGTGTCAACAAGCCTTCAGTTTGTGCATTGGTGGGGATTTTTCAGTGACTTTTTCTGCAGGTTACATCCTTACTACTCCAGTAGGTGGCGACACATTTATCACGACTGAGTCACTCAATTATTCACTCTTCATCAGTTCATTAAAATAAATCACTGATTTGTTCAGAAAGTAAACAACGCTACTAGGGGATGGCATTATCGAGCAAAGTAAATTAGATTACCACAAAAAAAATCCAAACTTAAACAATAAATGTTGTTGGAATTCCAAATTCCAACAAAATTGAAAATGTCCATGTTTTAGGTTGCAACACCAGCTGTCTTTATACTTGACATTAATTTACATATTTTTGAATAAATTGTAAATTATAGTAGACTTTGTTGTAGCTGATAGATATACTAATATTATATCAACGCATGAAATACATATCACAAAAAAAATTACAAACAGTGTTACTTACCTCAACATTGCACAACAGAGGGTCCTTGCTTGTGTGACAAACAGGATTCTGGCTCTTAGGAAGTTGGGTGGAGGAAATCATTATTTGTATGAGAAGCCAAGCTTAAGTACACACAATGCACGATTGTAAGCAACAGTATACGTAGTTGAATACAGAAGCTAATATCAGTAGCCTCTCTTTTAGATTATGGATATAATTTGTCAAATTATGTAGATTTGAGAATTACATTTTCCATGCTTCCAATTTTGTTTCGGTGCTTACTGCATAATAGTATTGTTTATGTGTGTGGTCAAAAAATAATAATAATACAAATAAAAATAAATAAATACATTTTATTTTTATGAATTGTTAATATTTTGTGTATAATCTTCCAGAGCACTGCTACTATCAGCAAAAGCACTAATATGTAAGAGTAGAAGGAATAAAGACCTATCATAATCTTGTATTTTATAGCCACCCCATGGGTGCAGTCTGAGGAAACTCATAAAGAAATGGTGTTGATTTTATCTCATTAAATAAAACCCATATACACACATGAGTATATAATGTTTGATTCTACTGGGGCATCAATAGTGGTGTCTTAAATAGCTTCGAATAAATGAGATACCAACAAAAACATTGCTATAACATTTACAGCTAATGTGGTAATGCAGCTGCTACTTGTCTGATGTAAACCTTTAAAGCAAAAAAAAAAAAGAAAGAAAGAAAGAAAAAAAACAAGCTAACAGTTATTTTCTGACTACAAATCAATAATAAAAAACATGCCAGACATTTACTCAAGCAGTGCAATTAAGTTGCATTAATTTAAGATGGCTGCAGTAGATAAAATCGTCAGTTTAATAAGTTTATTCAGTGTGACTTAATCACGTCTTTGAACGAGTGAAGTGAAACGTTATTTATGAAATATGTATGCTCATTTTAGTGTCACATTCACAGAACATGATTCCCAAACTGTGAGCCACACACACACACACACACACACACACACATATATATATATATATGGGTGTGTGTGTGTGTGTGTGTGAGAGAGAGAGCGTGTGTGAGTGTGGGTGAGTGTGTGTATGTGAGAGAGAGTGTGTGTGTGTGAGAGAGAGAGAGAGCGCGTGCGTGTGGGTGAGTGTGTGTGTGTGTGTGAGTGTGTGTGTGTGTGTGTGTGTGTGTAGGCTAACTTGATCCCTAAATAGCAACAAGAAGAAATGTATCACTCTCTTCTTTTTTCCTTTTTTTTTCTGAGAGTATATGGAAAATTGATTTAGATATCCCAATAAGCCATAACTTTCTACAACTGCAAGAGACACCTGCAAATGCACTTTTGTGGTGCTCCCCAAGCTCACAGTACTAAACAGAACTGCATTACTTTTACAATCAATGTTATAATCAGCAGTCAACAGATGGAACCTTTCACAGAGGACCTGCTGCTGCCCCGGATCTCTTCTCTGTAAATCAATCAGTTACAGTTTTTTACAATCATTTTTGCACTAATAACAGAACCTTCATGTCATTTTTCAAAACTCTAGACACATAATTCACAACTGATGATCAAAATGCAAATTTTTCAAAACACTTAACACTTTTTCCAAATGCTTGGATATAATACACATGAACCAAAGATCTTTTGTTCATTGAACTAAAATAACCGGTTCAAAATAACATCAAAGCATTACTATTTCAAAATGCAACGCACACATTACATCTGAATTGAGCGTCTATTCATTTCATTACAATGATCTAACTATCAATTGATACAACTGCTCAAAATGCTACTTAACTGTTGCATTACTCTTGAAGCATAGTTTTTATGGAAAATGATGAACAATATTAAATGTTTAGATTATGAAAGTGAAGCAACTGAGTATGTTCAGGTATGATCAGTTTCAAGATGCCTGTTGTTGGGAGAAAAGAACAAACCCCAAAAATTCTATATCATTGTTATCAGTATTTGTTTTTCCTACAATACTGTAAATGTCTTTTTAGAGGGTGATAGAGCTGGAAGCTGATGATTGAAAACCATTCATATTTTTGGATGAGGCAGGCTTTACCCTGGCCATGACGTGGGGGAGAGTTTGAGAGCCCAGCGGTTGAGAGGGGCCCAGAACGATGTTCGCTGGGGGGCCTGACCACCACCCACTGAATGTGATTTTGAGGAGGCTCCACAGCAAAATCAGTGCAATGGGCCCAGAATTCCTAGCAACCGAGTGCAATCATGGTTTCACGCCCATCCACAGTTTATCACCTTGTATTTACCCCCACAATACCCTTTCCTTACTGTAACCCGACTGAATAATTTTTCTCCACATGGAGGTGGAAGGTTCACAATTATAGGCACCCTCACAAACAAGTCACTCTTCTCCAGGCCATGGATGATGCGTGCAATGACATCACAGGAGACCAATGTCAG